AGCAGCAACAGCCACATCAACAGCAGCGGCAGCAGCAGCAGCACAACAGCGAAGGGAAGGCCAACAACGTTTGAGCATTAGACGAGAATAGTGACCAACTGCAGATGACTCGCGGTTTGTGAAGATTTACGTGTGTTAGGCCAGTAAACGGGCTGGGAGTAGGTCCAGCGTCTCGACCCCAGAACCTTGGATTTGTCAATGCTGAGAACTTCCTTCCCATAGAGAGACCCCCTAAACCCAAAATAAACTTTAAACCCTAAACCCTAAATTCCCAAAATGACTCTTACTGAAAACTTCAGTGCCTGCGGCCTTCACGAGGCCATAAGCTACAAGGACCGCGTCTCGAAGGGCCGCTCGCCTGCATCCCTCAACCCTGAACCACTAAACCCCAAACCCTTCAACCCTAGACCCGAAGCCCCTCAACCCCGAAACCCTAAACCCCCCAACCCTGAACCTCTCAACCCCTAAACCCCTCAACCCTAAACCGCTCTTTGGGGGGACCCTGGGAGTCTTGGAGAGTTGAAGCGCCATGTCAGATATCTTTAAAACCTCTACCGCATCCCAACTCCGGTTTGGAGTTTAGGGTGTAGGGTTTAGGGATTTAGGGTTTAGGGTTTGGGGGTTTAGGGTTTAGGGCATAAGCCTGTTTTCATGGGGGGTTTTGTTTGGGTTTACTGCCCGAGACTCCCCACGTCTTGCGACCTTGTCTGCCAGCAGGTGACCGAAATCCGAAGGATTTGTGACTTGGCTAATATAGGGGCCTAAATAAATACTGTTTTGGGTTTGCTTATTCTGTTTTTTGTATACTATACCCCAAGCCCATTGTATGGACTCAGCTTTTCCTCAACTTTGGGATTTTGACGGTTTCAAGCTTTACAGCAACCCTTGTCTGCGGTGTAACTAAAACCTATAGAGTGTGGGAGTGAAAGCGATGTCTTTGCAGGTGTTTAGGGTTTAGGGTGTAGGGTTTTGTACTCAAGAAATCGTTAAGCTACAATCCCCAGAGGAGATTGATACGGACAGGGTTTCGCGACTTTCCAGCCACATAGACCTCGGACCAACGCCCAATGGAGGCAAAGACACAATCCTCCAAACCACCCCAAAGCTGTGAGCCCGAACCCTAAACCCTAAACCATCCTAAATCGGATCTCAAATCGGGAGCTTCGAACCCAAATCTCACATCACACGTAGGCCTGAGGCTCTACCCCACCCCGCTCGGCCAGTCCCACGCAAGCTACGCCATGTACGTACGTAATGTATGTCTGTAATCACTTTAGACTTTACGAGTATGCGAGTAAGTAAGCAAGTAAGCAGGTAAGTATGTATCTATGAGTCTGAAACCCCCGCAACCCCAAACCCACTTCTAAACCCTAGCACCCTAAAGCCGAGGAGATGGCAACCGAAGGGCGAAGTCGTTAAACTCTCAGCCCTAAGCCTTGGAGCCCTAAACCCTAAGCCCCTAAAGCTGAAACCCTAAGCCCTAAAGCCCTAAACCCCTAAACCCTAAACCTCTAAAGCCTAAAGCCCTCAACCTAAACCCTTAAACCCTGAACCCCTAAACCCCTAAACCCTAACCCCATCGTTTCCCGAGCGTTGGTGGGATTCACACCGTCAAACCCTGAACCCCGAACCCGATTTAGGGTTTAGGCTTTAGGGTTTGGGGTTTAGGATTCAGGGTTTTGGAGTTAGTTCTAAACCAACAAATGCATGTTAAGATCGATTCGTTCCTTGCTGTCAACTCAGGTTTTTTGACTTGTTGACCGGTGGCGAAAAAGATCCTAAACCCTAAACCCTAAACCCCTAAACCCTAAACTCCTAAACCCTAAACCCTGCTCAGGATCACCTTCCGAAGCGACCAGCTCCGAGTGGTCCATCCGCAGGAGGCTTTTGGGACAGGGCTTGCTTTATCTAAGCTTCTACCTATAGTCTCCATTGTAGTTCCCTTTTTTGGTTTAACCGAATATATTATAAGGATTTTATAAGGTAACCCCAAAAAAGAACTACAATGGAGACTATAGGTAAGCTCTCTTGTGATCGTTTAGGAAAGAATTTAGGGATTTTGCTGATTAGGGTTTCGGGTTTATGGTTTAAGATTTAGGGCTTTGGGGGCTCGGGGGTGTTGGGCGTGGCTTTTATGTGGATGTCTTGTGAAAACTGGCGTTTGCTTGGGTTCTAGAAGGAAGAGATTTTGAGTGGTCTTATGTAATTCGTTGCTTCTGTTTCGTGGCTGCAGGTTTGTTGGCGACCCCCCGTCCTTTGAACGACACAGTCAGGCTGGCCACGCCAACCCTGTCAAAGACAACACTGGCCAGCTGTCCTTCGAAGACTCCGTGAACTTTCCTACGTTTGTCGCTTGGTTGACGCCAGAGCGAGCCTTTCTACCGGTTAGGTCTCTGTTCAAATTTCTGCAAGTATTACATATTGAACCGCGTTTACCGACCCACGGCCAGAGAGGCACGAGTGAGAGAGAGTGAGCGTGAGCGTGCGCGTGGGAGTGGGAGCGGGAGTGGGGGTGAGAGTGAGAGGGAGAGAGTGTGAGTGAAACAAGAGAGAGTGAGACGGTGAGAAAATGTCAGAGAGCAAGCTTGGAGGTTCATGGGTAGTTCTAAGTGGACTTATAAGTCCCCGGTTATAAGTACGGTTACCCTACTTATAACCCCACTTATAACCACCCATGAACCCTAAACCCTAAACTCTAAACCCTAAACCCTAAACCCTAAACCCTATAACCACCCATGAACCTCCAAGAGAGGGGGAGGCAGAGACAGAGCGAGAGCGAAAGCAGAGACACGGAGAGAGGGGGGATGGAGACTGGGGCCGGCTAACGCCCAGACAGAAGCAACCTGTCATAATGTCGTTGCCTAAATAACCGTGAGGGCTTTGGGTTTTAGGGTTTTAGGGTTTTAGGGTTTAGGGTTTAGGGTTTAGGGTTTAGGGTCTATTTTGGGAGGGAACCTGTCATAATGTAGGGGCCTAAAGAATTACCAATAGGGTTTCGGCCTTAGGATTTCGGCAATAGGGTTTCGGCCCTAGGGTTTCGGCTTTAGGGTTTCGGCCTTAGGGTTTCGGNNNNTTGGGGGGGGGGTTCCTTATTATAGTTATAGTTATAGAATAATGTGGCCCAAAACCCTGTTCTATCTATTAAGGCCCCAAAATTATAGAGCCCCTTATAGTAACCCTTATAGGACCCCTTCAACGGAATCCCTATTCTAACTATGAAGTCCCCTGCATTACTCAGGACTTCCCCTCCGACCACGCCATCGTCGCGGCACTTTTGAGTCACACCAGCTGACTCCTGAACCCCTGAACCTCATTTGGGGTCCTTATAATAAGGATCCTATTATTGAGGGTACTATATTGGGGTCTCCTATTTTCGAACCCCAAAACTTGAGACCGTAAAGCAACCATAACCCTCAACCCCAAACCCAAAGCCTGAAACCCTCACCCCGAAACCCCGAACCCAAAACCTGAAACCCTAAACCCCCAAACCATAAAAGCCCTGCACCCCCAAACCTTAAATCCTAAATCCCTAAATCCCCTCCAAAACCCCCAAACCTGAAACCCGAAAGCCCCAAACCCTAAACCCTAAACCCTAAACCCTAAACCCTAAACCCTAAAACCTAAACCCTAAATCCGACAGCCCCAAAACCCAGAAGGGCTAGGCTCTCTGAGTCACAGCTGACGGAACGACCCCTGACATCCCGGAGCTCCAGAGAAAGTGAGGCTTTAGGGTTTAGGGTTTAGGGTTTAGGGTTTGGGGTTTAGGGTTTATGTTAAAAGTTCCTTTCAGGGTTCCTTTCAGGGTTCCTTTAGGAGTTCCTTTCAGGGTTCCTTTCAGGGTTCCTTTAGGAGTTCCTTTCAGGGTTCTCTTCAGGGTTCCTTTAGGAGTTCCTGTAAGGGTTCCTTCGAAGGTTTAGGGTTTAGGGCTTTAGGTTTAGGGTAATTGTCTTCTCAGGGGTTCCGGTTAGGGGTACTATGCAGTAGAGTTGGAACATTGTCTTTAAGGAAAAGCACAGGGAATTCTAGCACTCATTGTCCCTAAATCCTAAACCCTGATTATAAACCGTGTTCCAGCCTTTCTGGGGTTCGCAGTAAGGGGAGGAGTTTGGAGGTTGCTGGTGGTTGTTCTTATGATTGCCAGGGGGTGACATTGATGATGATTGCGATGCTGATGATGATGCTGATGGTTGTGATGTCGTTGAAGACCACAGTGATGACGTTGGTGTTGATGCTGACGATGAAGACAATGGCCGCGATGATGATAGTGAGGATGGCGGCGATGGTGATGATGCCGATGACGACAATGGTTGCCATTATTCAGAATATGACACGGTCCTGACTGTGAGTATGATCATATATGACCATGAATGCTTTGCCAGACAAGGGCTTTCAGCATGATGAAAGTTAGAAGGTTAGAAGCCTGATTCATCACTGATACTATACCTTCGGTTTTTTGAAAACACTAACCCCTATACCCTAGGCCCTAAACCCTAAACCCTGAACTGTAAACCCTAAACCCTAACATTAAACCCTGAGCCCTAAATTTTCATAGCCATAACTCCATAACTATCATTGAACACTTCATCAGACAACCCGTAAGGGAAGGAGCGAGTTTGCTTTGAGGGTTAGAAAAGTTTTGAGGCTTAGGTTTGAGGGTGCGAGGTTTAGGGTTAAACCCTAAAGCCTAAAGCTTTGTAGGGGCTATGGTTCTTTGTTGCACCTCGGCTTTGCCGCATCTCTTGCCGTGTTTTGCTTCTGACCGACGGCTTCTATCATCTATAGGTGAGGGTTTAGGGTTTAGGGTTTAGGCGTGCAGCAGCTTACAGTGACGGTTAGAGGCACCCTAAGTTCTGGAGCGCCAGAAAGAGTAAATGAGGTATGTAGGAATCTAACAGGCAGGTATGTCTTCTTTTACGATCCCTACCCCATCAGAACCTGATGGCCTCCGAAGCCCTCTTCCAATCATTTAGACCCTTACATCAGCGAAGTGGTGTCTCGCCATGGAGTCTTTCATGGAGGGTCTTGCTGGAAAGCGCGTGGTTCTGGCTGGATGCGGAGGGGGATGTGACGTGCTTGGGACTTCCGCGATCTACCAGCAGATCAAGGACATAGCTCGACAGGTGGCGTTCTTCAGCCTCTCCTTTACGAAGGATGGGCTGCTGTCTAAAACCTGCCAGCAGGTTGCACGAAACTTAGTTCTTCAATACCCAAGCTTTAAACTTTTTTGGGTTCTTATAAATTTAGTAGTAATCTGAAAGTTTAACCTTCTGTTTCCCTGGCTTATTGGAGAAGTAAGGAAAGTGTTGGCGGGTGGATCCGTCGAACACAGCGATCGCCGAGGATCCGGGGCAGCAGGTCTACTTCCCGGAGGCTCGGATGGCCAAGGCTACCGGGATTCACATCTACACCCTGTCCCATTATGCGACTTAGATAGCCAGTGGGAGAACTTTAAATTTTTTTGGCTTTATATATCAGGTCTATCCTAAAAAGTTTTGGCCAATGGGAGAACTTTGTTTTTTTGGCTTTATCTACTAGATCTATCCTAAAAAGTTTGAGCTTTTTTGGGCCTGGTTGTCCTAAACCCTAAACCCTAAACCCTAATCCCTAAATGAAGAAGAGAGGCTACCATTGCTCAGTACACCGAGGGGTACCGAGCAGCCCTGAAGCTGGAGTTTGGTGATGAGGCGAGGGGACCTAAGATCCGAAACCTTCCTAGGTTCCCCAGTAGTACCCTTTTGCCCTTTTTCCTTTTTGGGTTCCCTTACTAAAACGAAATAGTAGGAAAAAGGGTACGTTATTCGGAGTTTCCGAAAATTAGGGGTACCTTATTTTGGGGTCCTTATAGTAAGGATCCTACTATTTAGGGTGCTATGTTAGGGTCCCCTATTTTCGGAAACCCCCATATAGGGTCTGCGATGTTGGGTTTTGGACTAAACCCCTTGGGGTTTAGGGTTTGGGGTCTGCGATGTTGGGTTTTGGACTAAACCCCT